TCTTCTATGGCTTTGATTTTGTCGGGATTGATCTCGATCCCTCGATTGGATACTATGAAACCGAGGAATTTTCGGGATCCGACCCCGGATACGCATTTTCTGGGTTCAGCTTCCTTCATATTGTATTTTTTCAATATGTCAAAGGTTTCCTGCAAATGTTTCAAATGGTCTTCTGCTCGCTGAGACTCGACTAACATATAGTCAATATAAACTTCTATTGATTTTCATATTTGTTCTTCGAACATCTGGTTTACTAGGCGTTGATAGGTGGCACCGGTGTTCTTTAATCCGAATGCCATTAAGTTATAACAATAGGTGACGAATTTAGTAATAAAGGAAGTTTTTCCTTGATTGCCCAAGTCCATCCAAATTTGGTTGAACCCGGAATAGGCATCGAGAAAACTGAGTATCTCATGCCCGACCATCGTGTCGATCATCCGATCGATGTTAGGCAAAGGAAAAGAATCCTTAGGGCATGCCTTGTTCAAATCTTTATAGTCTACACACATTCTTAGCTTATTTCCTTTCTTAGGTACTACCACTACGTTGGCTAACCAGTTCGGGTACTTAACTTTTTGAATGGATCCTATTTTAAGGAGTTTAGATATCATCCTTGATGAATGTGTGCTTGACTTCGGACTACGGTCTCCTTTACTGGTTAACCGGATGGAACTTCGAGTGCAAACTCAGCTTATGAGTGGTTACCTCCGGCGGGATCCCTGTCATGTCAAGATGGGACCAAGCGAAATAATTTATGTTAGCTATAAGAAATTCAATGAGTTTTTTCCTGAGCTCGGGAGTTAACCCTGTGCCCAGGTATACCTTCCGATCGGGCAAGTGTTCGATCAATATGACTTGCTCCAACTCCTCGACTATCGATTTAGTGGCATCGAAATCATTGGGAGCAATAAACGACCTATGAACTCCGTAATCATCCTCCTCGCCTACTCATCGGTCTTCTGGTTTGGTCATGGCCAGTATCGGTGATTGCTATTTAATTTCTTCCTTCCTGGTCGGCTCCGTGTTCTTTAATGTTGAGATCGCAGGCACTGGGATCACCTCGTTAACTGCGAACATTTCTTTTGCGTCCGGCTGCTCTCCGTAGACCATCTTGATTCCTCCTGGCATAGGGAACTTTAGTGCCTGGTGCAGTGTTGAGGGTACTACCCTTATGTTGTGAACCCACGACCTTCTGAATAAGGCGTTATACCTCATGTCCCCTTCGATCACGTAGAATTTTGTATCTTGAATTGTTCCGGCGGTATTCACTGGCAAGGTTATTTCTCCCTTAGTAGTTTCGCATGCTATATTAAATCCATTCAACACCCGGACCGCTAGTTCTATTTGATCTTGTAACCCCAACTGCTCGACGACCCTTGATCTGATGATTTTGGCTCAGCTGGCTGGATTAAACAACACACATTTAACCTGAGATTTGTTGATAAGTACGGATATCACTAGTGCATCATTATGAGCATGTACGATGACTTCGGCATCCCCGTCACCGAACGAAATGGTTCCCTGCGGGATGTAATCTCGGGTGCATTTTTCCCTCGTGATGGATACTTTAGTGCGCTTTATCATCGGTCCCTGGGGGACATCGACCCCTCCAATGATCATGTTGATGACGTGCTGAGGTTCTTCTTATTCGGTCTGTTTGTTGGAGTCTCTGTTCCTGAAGCGATTTTTGGCTCGTTTACTCAGAAATTCTCGAAGATGCCCGTTATTGAACAACCGGGTGACCTCTTCTCTCAACTATCGGTAGTCCTCGGTCCTGTGGCCATGAGTGCCATGATATTTACACATCAGGTTAGGATCTCTCTAGGTAGGATCGGACTACAATGGTCGAGGCCACTTGGTTTCCTTGATGCGCCCAATGGCTGATACGATGTTGGTTGCATCAACGTTGAAGTTATACTCTGATAATCTTGGTGCTTCCCTTCCCCTAAGCGGCCTGTCGAAACCATTTTTGCTCATTAGACCTCGGATAATGGGTCCTCGATCACTTCTCTTTTCGTTCCTTGTAGAGTTGCGCCCGGACCCGTTTCCCCTTCGATCTGTACCGTATGGTTGGTACTGATCTCGTACCGACCTTGATTCATGATCGACGACTCTCTGAGGCCTGTCGTCAGTTTTGATGGGATAAACGGATCTAGAAGGGGCTCCAAGTTAGTCATCCTCGACTCTGAGTTTTGACTGGTACCTGTCGTGGACGTAGGCCCAAGTTACCACCGGGTACTCTACCAAGTTTTGTTTCAGCTGCTGGAAGCCAAGGAGCTTCGGGGGTTAAGTCCATGAGTGAATTCTTGAACGGCCCAATCGTCTGCGACCGGAGGTAAGTCCATCCGTTCTATTTGAAATCTTGACACGAACTCCCTGAGCATCTCGTTATCCCTTTGCTTAACCTTGAAAAGATCTAATTTTATGGTCTCGACCTTGATGGCCCCAGCATGAGCCTTCAAAAAGGCATTCGCGAGCATAGCTAACGAATCAATGGAATTTAGGGGCTAGTTATGGTACCATATCATTGCTCTTTTTGAGAGAGTTTCCCCGAACTTCTTTAATAACACTGACTCGATCTCATCGTCTTCCAAGTCGTTACCTTTGATGACGCATGTGTAGGAGGTCACATGCTCATTCGGATCCGTGGTTACGTTATATTTTGGAATATTGGGCATACGAAACCTCTTCGGGATTGGCGCTCATGTGATTTGATCGACCCCCGAATTATATGTCTCCACCTCCTTGTCGTTAGCCTCAATTTTCTTTTCACCTGACTCCACCCGTTTCGTTAATGCTTCAAGAATTTTCATTACTTTGGGACTGACACCAGGCTCAGTTTCACTCGCCCTTTCGGCGATCTGCTCATTTCTTCGGGTGATTTCCGGGATGGTTCGGGCTCAACTCTGTTGGGGGCGCGGCTTTGATTTTTCTGCTGCACTATCGCCGCCTGTTGAGCCTGCAACATTTCGAAGATCACTCGTAGACTAACTCTGTCGCCTTCCTTCGGGCGCTTCTTGAGCTGTTGGTCAGGCTCCTCCGCGAATACTGTTCTTGGGGTCGGTAGGCAGGTTGGCATCGATGGCCACATGCGAGTTAGCATCGACTGGATCTGCAACTGGGACTCCATTGGGATCAACAGGCGACACCTCATTGCTAGGCACCAGATTGTTGTGTTCGCCATGATGGCCAGACTTAGCCTCGATGTTCAAGTGAGCAGACTGAGAATTTGATATTTTTAAACTGACCTGAAATTGAGACCTTAAAGAACAAGTATAAAATTGAGTGTGTTATGGAGATTTGTATCAAACCACCACTATTATCCTTAGCCCCACGGTGTGCGCCAAACTGTTTACTCTTACAACGGATAACAATTAAATTTGTACGTGGTTTTAAGGATATGTGGATTGATTCAATACAAGTAATCAAGAATGTAAGATAAACGAATTAAAGATAAGATAAATAACCAAACCAGTTGTGACGTTGAGTCCGGGCTCGGATTTAAGCTTAACAATAGTTTTGCCTCGACCGGACCCTCGATTCGAAGCCAAATACGTATGAAGGACTATGATTAAAATAAGAACCTTTCAATAGCTAGAAAGCAGAGAAATAATTTTGTATTGCCTTGATATGCGTGTTATAATGTGTCTACTGAATAAGAAACTTTCCCTTTATATAGTAGGGGAGTTTTACCCCTAGTACAATCCAAAAAAAGTAAAAATCCTTCTTGTACATCAATCACTGATACGCTACCGGCATCGGGCGAGATCCGCGCCGTGATTTTCGGTTGGGTGCGGATATCACAGTCCTCTGTTAGTCGTGTGCAACCATTTGTAATGCTTTCCGAGGTCTTGGAGCTCGTTTTGGGTTCGGAGGGTGTTATCTTGTCGGGCCCGATGGCGAGCACCCCGTTCCAGCCTCGAACCAAAGAGTTTTTTCAGATTCGATCTCTATCTCATACATTCATATTCGTTTGATTCATCGAGAACTCGGGGTGCGTGCTGACCCCGTATACAAATATTCGAGGTTAAATAGCAATCTAGGAGATAATTTTTTAACCTAATGTAACTTGGTTATACTTAACCTTGTAACATGAGGAATTCCAAACTGTATAGAGGCAGAAAAGAAAGAAATGAAAAGAAGGTTAGGTAAAATGCACAAAGAAAAACAAAGACTGGCGCGTGTACCCAAAGTCATACCTTTAGCCCTTAATTTTGGGAGAATGATTAAAAGGAACATGACACCAAATGCTGGAAAGACAGAGAACAAAGATTGTGAAGGTGCATGCACCTCCTCATTATCTGTGCTCTGTAAATCTTAAGAAAGAAAGCAACGTAGAAGTACAGCTGCAATGTTTGTCTGAAATCTTAGCCTCAACGTGCGTGCTCTTCTTTAATCTCCTCAAGAGTTCTAGGTCTGTTTCGTAGTTATCCCCACCAACCCATCAAAAAAATAAATATCATGTTCGTAGCTGATTCCTTTGTGGCAGTGACTGCGAAATCGATTAAACAATTTTTTTAAAAACTTCAGAATTATAAGTATATGTCTAGTTCAAAACACTCTCTCTATATCTATAAGGAGGATTTATATAGCTGAACCTATCTAATTTGCTAAATAAGGATTCATATAACTGAACCTGTCTAATTTTAAATTGACGCATCGATTGTTTCACGTCAAAGGGACTGATATTAAAGCTATACATCAGCGTGGCTATCTGCTATTCTGCTTTAAATGCATTTTCTGGTAAAAGAAACTTTTCTTTTCAAAGAAAAAGGCTATTCCATGAATGTAAGGAAGAAGAGTTAAGGATTTCTCCGTTTTATACCTCATCCATTTGGATGGAGACTAGAAATTAATGACCACATAAAATGGGGCGTTCACTTTAGCCCCATTTTCTTCTCCTTTCTCATCTTTAATATGCTTGTGGAGAATTGTTGAAACCAAACTGGTTTTAATATTAGCCATAGCAAAGTACTGACAGTTTTACTGACTTAGGGTAATATCACCAATGTTTTTCAAACTTATTTATTATAAGTAAATCGCAATCATGCACGACTCTATTGAAGAAGCTCTATATATGCTTTACTTTAAAATTTTAATGTATCTTAACAACTATGACTATCAATTTTACAAGATGGAACCTATCATCCTAGGCAAAATTGCCAATACTATGTATACTGTCAACTTGACCATGTTAACTCAATGAGATGTCAGATTGGAAGGATCAATTCCTTTTGACTTGAAATAGGCTTTCTCTGCATTTGCTACCCTTGATTGAAACATTGTCCATTCCTTTCTACATCTCTCCCTCACCTGCCACAACAACATACAAGCTCAATTAATAACATAGCAATCCACCTGCTTCAAGTTTTTAAAGTGGAAAAGGATGAAACACAAGTAGCTCAACAGACATATTCCAAAGAAAAAGTGAACTGTCAATAGATGCTACCCCCCTCCCTCTTCCCGGACACTTTCTCTCCAGAAAACTTTCTTTTCTGGAAAGGAATTTGCTGGAGGTTTTTCTTTTGTGTGTGTGTGGGGTTGTG